TGTTTGAGCAAGGTCTAGACGACAACAGTGTGATTAGATTAATAGCTGATTATGGATAGATTCATGAGAGTTTAGTTTTTATTCTTTTCACAACATAAATCATAAGTGAAGTTCTTTTATTATAGTATTTTCTCTGATCACAAAAATTTAAATTTTGTTTTTTTATTACAGTGTTTTCTCTTATATAAAAAAAATTTTGAGTCTTAACTTGAATTGTTAAAAGAACATACATAGATTTTCCCATCAACAACAATTAAACAATCGGTATCGCTTATTGCTTATTTTTGTTAACTCGTATGTGGTTTTAGATTATATATATATATATTCTAGCTTCATTGCCATTATGAGCGGGAAATTACTTGTGTTTAAAAGTTGCTAATCTTTCGTTCAAAAGCAATAAACAAATTAAGTTGTTCAATCTTCTAGTTTTGTTTATGTTGGTGAATTTAAATTTATGAAGATTCTTATGAAATGAATAATATTAGACGTTTGGTACTGTCCCTTTTGGGCATTTAACGCAAGGACTCCCTTATTATTATGTATATTATTGTATAACTTATTAATTACCAATATTTTAACACATTACGTGTCTAAAAGTAATTTTAATATTTTTAACCGAGGGATAACATTTGAGACGTCAAAAGAATTTAGGGTTCAAGATGAAATAATTTAAGTACATGGACCAATTTTAATAGAGAGAATAAAGTTCAAAGACGTATGATAAATTTAGAAGGTTAATAGGATATCCACTCAGTTTATAAGACCCTTACAACCACACCATGCACTTTAGCATCAAACACTGTAAACTTTGTTGGCACTGATATCTCTCTCACACAAGAATTACTTTCGAGTTCTCCCGAACACTTCATTCAGCCATGGCTTCCTCAGCAGCCATGGAGGAAAGCGGCGGCGACACAGTCGCCAACGATCGGGCCAAGTTTGACTCTAAAGAGAACTTCTCTGCAGGTTCTCCCAAACACTTCAAAAAACCAAGCACTGCCTCCATATCACCGACCTTGGTCGACGAGGGCGGCGACGATGGCCATGAAAAGGACCCCGAGAAGAACACCACCGATGTCGAAAGGTCTCGGTGGGTTCTCAACGCTCCAAAGCCGCCAGGCCTGTGTCAGGAGCTCATGGACTCCGTGAGGGAAACCATTGCGTCTTGCAAAAGCAAGTACCACTCATCTCTCAAGAATCACTCTTTTGCGAAACGCGTGATTTCGATTCAGCAGGGGATATTCCCGATTCTTTCATGGGGTCGAGATTACAAAGCAACAAAGTTCAAGAGTGATTTGATGGCGGGTCTTACTATTGCTAGCCTCTGCATTCCTCAGGTTATACTAAAACCAATTATATTTATTACCATATGTAGTACAATATTGCAACTTTTGTATTATGGTATAGAAAAAGTATCGTATATGGTTAATTTTGAACAATCAAATTTGAATTTGGTTAAATCCTAACGTATAATTCAATTTTGTGATTAGTACCCTATTATATTATTTCGTTTATATTTGAGTTTAATTATGCAGAGTATTGGATATGCAACTCTAGCGAAGCTTGATCCTCAATATGGACTTTGTAAGTCATATTGTAACTTGCTATTCTCTTTTTTGTTTTTCTGTTTATTCAAATCATAAGTACTAATTAATTAAGGGGCCTGTGTAAAAATACATTTTGAAGTTGAAACTTTTAATTAATTAATTGGATGGTCCTCAATCTTTATAACTAGATACAAGTGTTGTACCGCCACTTATCTATGCTGTAATGGGGACTTCAAGAGACATAGCGATCGGACCGGTGGCCGTCGTTTCACTACTTATACCCTCAATGGTTCAGAAACTAGTAGACCCCGGGGCTGATCCAATTGCATACAGAAATCTTGTTCTGACCACGACTTTCTTCACCGGTCTCTTTCAAGCATCCTTCGGATTCTTCAGGTGAAGAATATAGTGACATGTCACATGTTAGAATATAAAACTATTCCTAATAGCTTAAGTTTTTAGTAAACGTCTAATATCACTTTAAATATTACAGACTGGGATTTCTGGTCGATTTCCTTTCCCACGCTGCGATTGTTGGATTCATGGCAGGTGCAGCCATAATTATAGGCCTTCAACAGCTCAAAGGACTTCTTGGGATATCTCACTTCACAAACAAAACAGATATCATCTCTGTTATAAAAGCTGTTTGGAATTCAGTTCACCACTATCCTGTATATTGTTATTGCAAACCCTATCTGTTCCTTTTTTTTTATATAATAATTAATTGTTTTTAATATTGTAACGACCCATTACTCCTAATTGATTACAGTGGAGCCCTTATAATCTTGTCATTGGCTGCTCATTCCTGTGTTTCATTCTATTTACTAGATACCTGGTGAGTAAAAAGACAATGTACTATTTGAATCCAATATTATTGAATTGTTCATTAATCTGTTTAATATTCTTATTCCTTATTATTACCATTATTATAACAATAATTATTATTAATATATTGGTGTGATTCCTCCAGGGTAAAAGGAACAAGAAACTTTTCTGGTTGGCAGCTATTTCTCCTCTGATATCAGTTATAATATCCACTCTAATTGTGTTTCTAACAAGAGGAGATAAGCATGGGGTTAAGATTGTGAAGCATGTTAAAGGTGGATTAAATCCTAGCTCCCTTCATGAGTTACAGTTCAAAAGTCCCTTTGTTGGGGAGGTGGCTAAAATTGGACTCATTGTTGGGGTTGTGGCACTAACGGTGAGTATTTAATAAGTAATTAAATATCTAAGCATATCAATTAATTGTATATTGTTATCATCAACTGATGTGGAAAGTAGGAGTCACCTTTGCTTAATTTGATTATATTATTATTAATATTATAAGTATGTATGTGGAAAGATGCGTTTCACGTTGAAAAGAAGAGTTAGACATTTTTGTCCTTTATTTTTTACTGAATTGATAAATTGTCCTCGAATTTTTTAATTGTAACAAATTATCCCCTGAATGTGATAAAATATTGTAGAGTGCTCCAAAATCAATAAATGAATAGCTCTTAAATTTGGAAGAAAACACCATTAAGTCTAAAGCATGATCTGCTCTCATAATTATCGTCTGAAAATTCAGTGCGTTCTTTTGAAAGAGCTGACATGATGTACACGTTCGATTAGTGTTTCTCTCCAAATTTTAGCGGCTGTATATTAAAATTCGTAAATTCTAATTAACCAAGATTTTTGCAACTTCTACAGGAAGCGATTGCGGTTGGCCGGTCTTTTGCTTCGATGAAAGGATACCACCTAGACGGGAACAAAGAGATGGTAGCAATGGGCTTCATGAACATAGTAGGATCTTTCACTTCCTGCTATGTTGCCACAGGTACTCAATATTAGGTATTTTATATCATGTCTAGTGCTGTTTTGAAATAATAAAAGTATTTATTATAATAAAAATAATAATATCAATAAAGAGCCGGATATAACAAACATCATAATATTATCTAAAATATTTTAATTAAGTTCACGCCGCCTGATCTATAGAATATATATTTCTTAAAAATCTCCACTCGACCGCTTAAGTGGGTCAAATGACTATTTAATTGTCAGCAAAATAGTGTCACCATTTTTTTTTATGGCAAAATAATGTCACTATTAGTTTTTTTGGGAATTAATTGACTCCCATTTTTCGTGTTCTTCATATAGGTTCATTTTCTCGAACTGCTGTGAATTTCAGTGCTGGGTGTGAAACACTGGTTTCAAACATTGTAATGGCCATTACTGTATTGGTGTCCCTTGAGCTGTTCACAAAGCTTTTGTATTACACTCCAACAGCAATTATTGCATCAATAATTCTTTCCGCGCTTCCGGGACTCATCAACCTCAATGCAGCCAACCATATTTGGAAGCTTGATAAGCTTGATTTCCTTGCTTGCATTGGAGCTTTCTTCGGAGTTCTATTTGCATCTGTTGAGATCGGTCTCACCGCCGCGGTAACGAATTCTTATAACGTGTTAATTTGCAATTCAATGCATAATTATGAGATAGCAACAAAAAAGGATTTCATTTTCTGATACCATATTAGTACGTTACAATTTTTTTAAAAAAATAAATAAATAAATTGTTGTGAGTGTCTATTCTCCTCCCCCACTTTGATTTGAATGAGCAGTACTAAGCACACTCAAATTATAAAAGCAAAATGAAAATATAAAAATACACAAGGGAGATTTCTGTATAAGATATTGACATACATATATATATCTGTATATATGTAGGAAGTAGTTAAAGATAAGAAGAGGCTTCTATTCGTTCAACAAAACTAGGCATGATACTTTAAAATTCCTAAACAAGTGTGTAATAGCACTAGTGGTAGGCCCCACACACTACAATATTGAAAAATTCCAGCCCCGATTAGCAAATCATCATGTTCCATTTCGCCACCATTTAATAAGCTGCTATTATGGTAACAGTGTGGTCCATTAATAATTTGCACAAACAATATCTTTAAGTTTGAGAATATTGAGAAGTACTAGACACACCTACAAACTCATGTATTTCACGTCACCTGCATTCCATTTATATATCTATATATGCTAGTCCGATATCAGTCCCCCTAATCCTAACCATTGAATTGGAAATTAAGTTTAACTATTGATGTCTTAATAAAATATAAACAGTTCAAAATTAGTCCAAATTTGCAGATGTTGATCATTTGATGATTAATTTACAAAGTGATGTTAAAGTCAATTAAATTTTTCCTTGGATTTTCTTATGTAGATAGACATTAATTAAGCACATAAAGAAAACATTAATTTGGATCATCTGATTTTTCAGGTAACTATATCATTTGCTAAGGTTATTCTCATCTCAATTCGACCGGGCACTGAAACCTTAGGAAAACTTCCTGGAACTGATTTATTTTGCGATATCCAGCAATATCCCATGGCCGTCCAACTTCCTGGGATAATGATAATGCGACTCAAGTCTGCCTTGCTTTGTTTTGCAAATGCCAATTTCATACGAGAAAGGTAATCATAATTCACCGTTCGGTGTTGGACTTGTGGTTTGGTGGGAATTAATTAATTAAACTCCTTCTTTAGTTATTTTTGTGTCAAGGTTCTTTCCGTTTCATTGATGATCCTAAATTTCTGTTATAGATAATAAGAACGGGTATAAAATCACACCAATGATCAAAATTATGACAAAGAAAAGGGCGAGATCATAGAAATTTACAGTAAAAGTATAACATGTTTGTTATTTGTGTATTCAAGGATTACGAGCTGGATATCGGAGGACAATGAAGGAAATGCAAAAAGGACCATTCTAGTCCTCATTCTTGACATGTCTAGTAAGTGTATATATATATATATATATATATATCTCCTAAAATTGAGCTTTTACTTTTTGAGATGAATACAAAATATATATATATATATATAAAATTTTGTAGAAATTTAATCAGTTTAAAGATTAGTGGTAAAAATAGGTCATAATCAGCCGATTACTTAAAGTAACGGCTTCCAAAGTTAATTGAGGGTATTTTGGTACTTTGCATTTTATAACACTATTTTATGCCAGGTTTGATGAACATCGATACATCCGGAATTGCTTCTCTGCAGGAGCTGCGTAAAACTTTGACTTCACAGGGAATCGAGGTAAAAGATAGGTTACTTTTTCGTTTTCATTTTTTTCACCCACTTTTCCCCTTTCTTTTCCAATATTGCAACTTAAATATAATATTAAAAATGATAAAGTTGCATAATTTACCCCTTTTTTTTTCTCCTAACTCACTTTCTCAGTTAGCAATTGCAAATCCAAGGTGGCAAGTGATTCACAAACTAAAGCTAGCAAACTTTGTGAGTGAAATAGAAGGAAGGGTCTTTTTGACTGTTGGAGAAGCTGTGAATGCTACAACTATTAGTGCTAAAAATATTCCTATATAATTAAGTTGTTAATTGTGTTATATTCCAAGAGTGTTATTTCTTCTTAGTTTGTATTTTGTGTGTGCTTTGTCTAAAATGTCCTTTCCTACTTATGTGAATGTATAAAATAAGGGTCGGACATGATGAGATAATAAAAGGTCCATACTGCCTAGTACTATAGTGTTATGTAATATTGAAGCTGCAGCTTCTTTTATGCGTGTATGCAAATTATTTGCAATATAATAATAATAATAATAATGTAACCTTGGATATTTTGGATATGCTTGAAAGATAAGTTAACTTTCAAAAAAGGGTCTGATACTCTTGTGAGAGCGGTCCTGTACAATCAGTTTGAAGTCTAAGGAGTTCTTAATTTGTTTCATAGATTTCAATCACAAAATTAAATTCATATATTATGAATAACAAAAATTGGGCTTTCTTTTCATACGAGGCAAACAACACATAATTGCATGGATTTAATAAAGTCCAAACTTATCTCTCCCTTTTTAGTTTTCCAATTTGTGAGTATAAGACTGAAATATATATATATATATAGTACTTTACTAAAATTTTTAATTGCATTCCTTTCAATAGCAGTGTACAATTTGGTTATACATGATAGAAAACCCCAATACTTTTTTTTTTTTTTTTTTTGCTGAATATGTCCCAATACTTCGAAAACATATCACTCGCTGATAATATCTTATTTCAATTCTCCATTAGGAAAAATCGATTGATTCATTTATGGGAGACGAACTAATTAATAGTGCTAACTAAGCTAGGTACGTATTAAGGCATATATGATTATACATTACATGTATTGAAGCAGATTGCATCATATTTAAAACAAACAAATAAATAAATAAATATATAAGAAATACTAACAATGGTAACTATATAAGCTATACGAATTAAGGCATATATAATTTTACATTTCATGAAGTGAAACGCAGATTGCATCATATTTTTTCCTTTGAAAAAAAAACCACACACATTTAAAAATGTGAAAAGACCATATAAAATACCAATTCAAATCCTTAAAACTTAATAGTACTACAAGAAACATGGCAACGACAAACAACTTGTATGTAAACTAGAATTAATAAAACGCTCAATCGAAATTAGTGTGTTCAGAGTTTCAAAAATGTAAAGTTACTCAAAGAGATATCTCAAAATGGATGACATATGGGACTCTTTAATATATACTTTAGGGTGTGTTTGGTTGGGGGAATGGAAAGGAATGGAAAGGAATCAATGTTCATTTTTATGTTTGGTTGGTTTTAGGAAAATGAATGGTCATTCAAAATGGAATGACTTTTCCATCAAATGGGTGAATCGTCATTCCTTCCTCATATAAGAGGAATGTTCATTCCAAACTCTTTTAATTTTCTTTTCCATCATTACCCTTAAATATTATAATTATAAATATTATAATATTAATATTTATAATACAATTAATATTATATTATAATGTAATTATATATTATAACATATAATATAATATATTATAATTATATACGTATATTAAAATAATATCATATTTAATGGAAACTCCATACTGCTGCACTTAAATTAAATAGGAGAGTTGACCGAGTAGTTGCAACGATTCAGCTAAATGTTAATTCAAAGACTTGTAATCTGCGGCATTGTCAGGTTCATCATCTAAGTTATACAACAAAAGCAAAAATCAAAGTTCCACCCACATCACACCGTAAATACCGACTGCCGAACTTGAATCCTAGCCATTTCCAAGGATTTCTTTGCAGCATTTATTTCCATTTCTCTTTCCTCGTGCAGCCTCTTTGCTGTTTCTGCTTCCTGCAATTTCTTTTCTAATTCCAGGATGTCCTTTGAAATCTTTCTTGATCTAGTCTTCAGCTCTGCATTCTCTTTCTCGAAATGCCTCAACTGATCCTCAACTTGAAGTAGCATTTTCTTCAAGCGTGAAGCCTCTTCCCCAAGTGACTTCAGCCGCTTATCAGAGGCCGTAACTGCATCCTCTGTCTCAGCCTGCATTCTTGATAACTTGTCAAAGTTAGCTCTCTCATAGTCATACCACTCCATGATCTCTTCCGAGGATTGTCCAGCCATCATGGACTCCTCTATTTTGGCCAAGGATGACGTACATGAAATGAACTTTCTCACATGCTCAGAAAAAGACCTATGATCAACTGAAAGCTGGTTCAGAAGAGAGAACGTTTTGTCTGCTGCTTCCATCATTGATCTGTGATTACGTGATTCCGTAGAGTCGAGAATAGTGAGCAGTTGACTTTGTACATGTACCCCTACTTCAACAAGCGCCCTTGAGATTTGTCTCGTGAAATCTCTCCCTTGCCGTATACCGGGAACATTTAGGATGCTTGAAAGCCCCGAAAGAATGCCAGATTGAGAATCCTGACTGGAGATTTGATTAGTTATTAAATGATTATATTAATATATATGATATTAGTTATATTAGCATGAGGGGTAATTTTGTCAATATGAAAATATTCATATCTCATTTCATTGCATTTATAAAAGTATAACTAAATAAATAAATTATCTTTTCTTTCCATTCTATTCTATTACCATTTTTATATTCATTCTCATTACCATTCCTTATAGTCGATGAAAATATTGAATTGATATCGGGAATTCCATATATAGCATTGAGCCCACCAAAAAAATATTTTAAAAAAAAAAGCAAAATAAAGAAAAAAAAATCAAGTGGATCACTGAAAACACAATAAAACACTAAATAAACATGACAAAACTAAAATTAGTCAAGATAAGAATCACCAACCCAAAACATACAAAATTTAAAAAAAAATAAAAAGATAAAATAAAAAACAACCGCAATATACTCACATATGTAGTTTATATATATATATGTGTGTGTGTGTGTGTGTAAACTCATCTAGATACATCCTTTCATAAGTGTCTAGGTTCATTGTTTCTGAAAGTTTTAACGGGATCTTATTTAATGAAAGCGATAGTTCTAAGTAGCATCAGAACCTGCCTTCTCAATAAATCACTTCTTAGTGACACATATTTGACTTCCTAATTACTATCTTCTGAATTGCTTTTGCTCATCATCACCCAATATTGTTGTCATCATTCCTCCTTGCCACCTTTCACACTTTCTCTCGTGTCTTGAATCTAAATCCGGATCTGACAATATGGACCTTTTATTCTTCTTTCAATACCATAATAATGCCCCTTCTAGGTTTGTACTTATCAAAAGCTTCCTGCAATATTACTTTCCATGTGGTACTGCCGAAAGTGATTATTTTCTTAATTCTAAAGTCTCCACTAATCAAGAAGCGTCCAGGTTCAATGAATTTCAAGGTTGTAAACCATCTTGCATTTGTGCGTTATACATGGCTCCTTTGCAATAATAACAGTTCAAAAATAGCCAATCCAGACTCGGTTTTGAGGGTGTAATAAATTCCACCATTTTAGTTTATAAACGGTTTTTCACAATCGCACTTTTGTACAAAACAAATACTATTACCGACCAGTTTGACATTTTTTACTGTTATTGTGGTATTAGTAATACGTTGCTGTGATTAGAAATATATAAGTATTTAGTAAATATTTGTACAAAATTATTATGAGTACCATAAATAAAAATTTAAATTTTTTATAAACTGTGTATAAAATTATTGTTGAAATGTATAATAACGAAAGTAAATATACTTTATCACACATGTTTATAGTTAGTTTTATTTTTATTTTTATGGTCAATATTCATGATATATTTTTATATTTTAAATCTTATTAATTAAAATAGTTCTTAAAAACAATTTACTTTTATTTAAGGAGAAACATTATTCATCTACTAATATCTATTATTGTTATTTTTAAATATTTTGATAATTATTAAAAATATTTTGAATGAAATTTAGCATAGCATAGTTATTAGAGATTTTCAATTTTTAAATAATTATTTTAAAAATATATATTTTTTAATTTGGTATGAAAAAAGTAAAATATGTATATTGACAATTAAGTTTTATTATTAAAGTTATCTTGGTAAATTTGAATAATGGCAGCAGAAGTTGCTGTGTAAAAGCAACCCCCGACCTGCTTCTCAAATTCTATTATTTTTTGTTGGTCCTCAAATTCTGTTGTTTGATAGCAGTTTTTAGAAGTTGAACAAAGCAGGATTAACCAAACACCCTAATATGTTGTAACTTCTTTAAAAAAGCTAAAAGTAGTCTCTAAAAGCAATGTCAAACGGGTCCTACTGCAATATGCATGCACTTCATATTTCAACAGGCTACCAACACGGTTAGTTCTTGAGCTATTAAAATTATGTCAATTTGATCTCTGAACTTTTTTTTTTACTGATATATTATATCATGAATTTTGGTTTTTTGGACACTCAAATTTATAATAGATTACTTAAATCTAACAAAAATAATTGGATCCCTAGTGTATAGTAACTAAAAGTTCTATAAAAATAGTCAAATTACACATAAAATATTCTAGTTGTGGGTTTGAAAGAAGTGGTTTTTAACAAAAACACGAAAAACGTGAAGATTGAGTTTTTAAAATTTTTCATAAACTATAAGATTCATATCTGATAGTGATTATAGTGGAGGGTAAAATCACAATGGCAAACGATTATAATTATGGATGAGCGTGAAAATTCTTCTCTAATCTTGTTGTAAATTTTGTATATAATTTGATACTGCAGTTTGATTCTGTAGTGGCACAAATGAAAATAAATAATTATGTTTATTTAATTAGAGCATAATTGCATTAACAATAATTATCGGGCTTAGTATGGATCATACAAGGTTATGGAAAAATGTTAAAAACTCATTCTATTGTGTTCTTCATGTTTTTTAATCTATTAAGAGGATTTTTAAATAATCAGTAGATAGCTATATTGTATTATACAACCCTAAATATCAACAAGGCTTTTTTCAGTATAAAAACATTTAAAGAAGATGAAAGTTTTGTTTCTTCCTCTTTCTCCCTTTCGTGCTTTAATGGTTCTCTTGGAATGAAAGATAAAAAAACAAAAATTCTCTTTGATTCTCTTTTTACTGATGAAGGAAGAGAGTGGTAAATTCATAATGAAAAGTAAAATAATGAGTTATATTTATACTTTATTTTAATAAGAGTGTGGAATTATATGTGGTAAAATAGAAGAAGAAAGAAAGTGAGAGAGTGGATGACCAAATTTAGAGTTCTGAAAATTAGCCACCCTGCCCGGCCCATGAGTGTAAGGTTGGGCCATCTAAGAGAAACCTGGCCTGGCCAACCCGGATTAATATATAGATCCTCAGGTAAGAAAGAATAAAGGGGAAAAGTAACAAATACCGTACATAAGTTAGATTCTTAACCAATACCCCGAGTTTGAGATTCTTACTCTTTATTTACGATTAATATTCTTTTAATTAAATAATAATATTAAACAAAAGAATATAATATAATTAAAAATAAAAGGTAAAAATTAAAACTCAGTGCAGATCAATAATTAAAGATTAAATTTCTTGAAAATGTTAAAAAAAATGAATGAATAAATCGATTAATTATGAAAGATATACAGAAACCAACTTCTGTGGAATAATATTCTTCTTGATACAACAATTTTTGGGATTACGCATGTTTTTATCATGCATGTTTTCCAACGTTTTTTGAGAAAACAGTCTCCGCAGGATTCCATTTTCACGCAACATTTGTAGTAGCGAGAAGGTTCCACAATATCAACCGAAATCGGGAATGATCTTCATTTATCACATCTTCATCAAATTACGTACCATTTTCCCTTTCCCTTCTGCAAAGTGTCCGATATGTTTGGTATTTTACGTGGATATTTCTACGAACGAAACGGCAAATTCTCTCTTCGTCATCGTAGCAGCGAATGAGAATGCTTGAATAGGTGGTTCAGAGGCTGGCTTCCATTGGCTTTGGACAACAGATTCTTTACTTGCTCTGTCATCTGTTTTTTTTTTTTTTTGTATATACACATACAAGGGGCGGAGCCGAAAAAATAAATCAGGTTACGGGATGTAAGCCAAAATTATGGAAAAAAAAAGAGCTATTATAATACGGGACAAACATAGCACTCAAAAACTTTTTGCATTTTAAAATCCTATATATCTCTAAATATGTATCATATTATATAAATATATACATAGCCCCCATTAATTTTTTAAAAATTGATATTATAATCTCATTAAATTTTTGTTTTATATTAGACTTAAATTTATGGCTCCGTCACTGGATGGGTATAGACCGTACCTTTCCTAAGCTTCCCCTTGTGTAGGGGACTGATCGTTGATATCCAATAGAAGTAGTAGTTGTTGTGGGAGATTTCCGAGTGGTTTCTTGTTCTCTGCATGCAAATTTTGCATTGCTTCTACTTCTTGTCATGATAGTAGAACAAGCCGTACGCCAGTTTCCGCTCAACATGCTTGGGAGGCTTGCTTCCTTGTATGCCACAACACATGCAACGTTCGAGAAACAAATAACTCTTTATCTCAAGAAAAACTAATAATAGTATGTGTACAATAAATAACATGGCACATAAGATAAAATTTTTTAAGGTTATTACTTTTTTTTTTTTTTTCCTTTTTTAAAGCTTATTTGGTATGAGGAAAAGGTGAAGAAGGGAGAGGGGTGAGGGGATTAATTAGTGGAAATAGGATTTCATAATCCATGCATATAATTGTTAGGTATAGAAGAGAAGAAAGAAGGAAATGGATTGGGTAAAATATTTCAAAAAAAAAAATCTTCTCTGTATTTGGAGATTAGAAAAGAAAGGTCTTCCCTTATTCTTTATTTTCCTCAGCTAGGTTATATATCATTTTATCCTTCATATTTTGCCTTTCACTAAACATACAATGAGACTAATATACTAATATAGATAATGAAAGAGAGAAAAATATACTGGTAAGTGGTAAGCTATTGTTTTTAACCATAATATTTCATTGAGTTCTCTTAAATTGCCATTTTTTTAACTTACTATTCTGAGATTAAAAACTATATTCTACGAGTAGGTAGAACATGAGAGATTCATTCCAAAAGTAGTACTCAACATGTTTTGGACAAGTTTTTTCAATTCGTATCATTGAATTATAAATATTCTAAGAATGATGTGGGAATTATATACCAGAAAGAGCACAGTTGCGCAGTGCTTGAGAACTTCCAGATTCATCCGAACATCATCAAGGCTTCTGTTAATCAAGGAAGTTGTGAAATTAACTTATTGCATTATGATTAGCTCTTAATACCCTTAATATTAATTAATTGGCACTCAAAAATGTTGATTGACAAAATATGAAATTCTATATGCATTTTACCTGTGCTTTTGCTGCCCAAGCCCGAAATAAGCAGCCAATGTTGCCATCTAAATATACAAGAGAAAATCAAGTGATAAGATTTGGTCTATTTCTTGCTAATGCATGCAGTTTTTGTATTATATCATACAATATTGTTACGTGAAAAACCTCAGAAACATAAGTTTTCACAATAAATTAATCATAGGTTTATGTAACTTTTTTGTTTGCTTACCTTCATATTACCAGCTCTTTTGCCAAACTTGTTAGTCAAAACCCCCAGCGAATCAATCATTCCAATAGGTTCAGGTGCAGCCTTACCAATATCTGCAAAAGCTTCCTTAATCCTCACGCAATCAAATCTTTGAATGTTATGGCCTGCCCATATTCTGCCATGCAAAATGCCAAATATCTTATCGGCAACTTCTTCAAACGACGGCGCATTTTCGACACTTTCCCGAGTAATCCCGTCGCGCCGAGAAGACCTCAATCCAACGGCGGACAAGTCTCCCGGCCTTATGAGAGTAGTGTAGCTCTCTAACTCAACAAGCTTCCGAGGGCAAACGACAATCGCGCCAAATTCCAATACCCAGAACCGCTTCCCGGCCCTGTTGGGTACTGTCGTTTCCAAGTCAAAGAAAACAATCTCTCCCGTGCCTTCTAATTTGAATGAAGTAGCCTCCATTGGATAAAGTTTATTTAGTGTTTAGTTAATTTCCTGTTTTGGAATTGGTAGTTTTGTTAAATGTTGTCAATATGAGGTTTTATATATATATATATATATATATATGTAGCCTCCATTGGATAAAGTTTATTTAGTGTTTAGTTAATTTCCTGTTTTGGAATTGGTAGTTTTGTTAAATGTTGTCAATATGAGGTTTTATATATATATATATATATATAGATTTCTTGTCGTTTGAGATTGATTGTCTTGTAGTTCAAGTCAATAGTTCTTCTTGAGGATGTCTTATACAAAGTTATTCCTGTTAGACAGGAATATATACATATATATATATATATATATATATATATATTACTCTAATAAAAAAAGATGTGTAAGAGTTTCCTTTTTCTATCTGTCTCTCCTTTTGTTGCTTCCAAAAACAGAAGACTTTGGAGAGAAACTTTAGGAGAAGTTTCAACTCTCCCTTACCTGTAAGGACAATGTGCTGCATATTTTGGAACATTCCCAAAGCAAGGTCTAATTGGCTGATTTTCTTAACCATTAGGACATAGCAAAACGTGATGGCATTTCTGAAGCAAACGTCCAAGGAGGAATTGATTCCTTTACTATGTCCACAAATCTTTCCTTCCTTCAAAATTAACAAGGCAAAAGGGCAAGGTCTCAATTTTTCCGCCTTCAACTAAAATGGTTCAAAGGCACACACGGCTACATCATGAACATTGTTGCATTAAAAAAATAAAAATAAAAATAAAAGACTGATGAAATTATTGGAAATATAGATAAATAGTGTTCTTTTATAAGAACAAATAAATAAAATGATATTTCTTTGATATGGTATCAAAAAAAAAAAGAAAAACCCTTAACGGTAGGATCGGAAAGAAATGATTGGGACACATCTTAGCGTTAGAAATTGTGTTCTATTAGTAAGGTATCTTTCCATACCCTACCTTATAATTCTCTGAAAAAAAGAATAATAATAATAATAATTAATAATAATGATAATAATAATAACAAAAAAAACAAAGAGATGCCCTTTTCATTAATAAGTTTTACAGTGAAGAGAATGAAATCATTGAAAGAAAATGCTAATGCTATGCTTCCAAGAGAATCATTCATACCAAACAAGAACTTGAATGAACATTCTACCCCCTTTTTTTTTTTTTTTTTCCTGAATGGTATACACTCAAACACAACGCCAACATCTTATTTGCCTTAACCATTCAATACAGCAGAGGAAGGTTCATTTTTTATGAAACCTAGATTAACATTTTATTACCTAGAAGTTGAAATAGATACTAAAGTCGGAATTTCAGACTCAAATAAAGTACAACAACCAACAACACTGACAGGTTAAACATGGGCGGGACGCTTAAGGGGGATAAGTGCTTTCTTAATTCTTTCAAAAGCTGCTTGTAGAGTGGTAAGAGATGTGGCATATGAGATGCGGATGCAACTGTCATCTCCAAATGCATCCCCGGGGACTAGCGCAACCTGTAAATCAACGGCCAAACCAATTTTTCATTAAGGACTGAAGAAGCAGCAACAATGCAGAAATATATGGTTTAGTCTGAAATTAACCGTCACACTATATCCTAAGATTTCCAATTATTAGCGTACCTGGCTCTTGTCTAGCAGGTAACGGCAGAGAGACTCAGAGTTCTCGATCATTCCAAATCCTTCAGCCTCGGATCCATAGTAAGAGCTGAAATCAATGAAGAGATAGAAAGCTCCCTACAAATGTGAGAAACAAGGAGTGTGAATGTGTGATAAAAACAAAAGAAGCATAAATGAGAGAACTGTAAACTAGAAGACTACTAATGGGCAGTTACACTTTAATAAAAGGAAGGTTCAAAATTGAAGTCCCCACCTGGGGTTCCGAAACTTTAACACCCTCCAGCTCAAGGAAGCTTTGGACCAAGAAGTCCCGTCGTTCTTGGAACGCTTTCACCATAAAAGCAACTACCTCCCCGCCAGCATAGCCCATTCCCAAGGCAGCAACAGCCGCTTTCTGTGATATGCTACTGGCACCTGAGGTGGACTATGAACAAAATACATCGAATTAAGCATGTGGCCCCTTTGGTTTATAGATTTGAACAAAAATTCAAAACTTTGTAAGTTTAAATTATGGTTCAAACCTATGAACCAAACAGAGCATATCTTTTCACTCTACAATTCTTATCATTCTCTATTTACTTGCATCAATATCAATGCATAAACTTCATCCTTCCCAATTGGTGAAGAAAACAGCCACCAATATCTAAACAGAAAACATTAATTATTTGCAATATTCACTCTTATAATTCCGTTTTCGACTGTCGTTGCTCCAAGGAGGCAGATTAGATGACTGTAGACTCATAATTAATAGGTACGATCTACTCAGGCGGTAGGTGAAATGAAATAAATAAAGACAAAATAAAGATAGAATGACAATACACAATAGCAGAGCAAATTGACAGGGATTACAGAAATACCTGACTCTGTATCTTTCCACATGCAGCCACAAAGTGTTTGGGACCAGCAAGATATCCAAGTCGCCAACCTGTCATTGCAAAGGCCTGCATAATTCCACTTCGGAATGTCAAAAACTATCACTTCCATCCCTAAATGACAAAGTATATCATCTTCCATTGAGACCAATGTTAGAGCAACCCATCAATGAAAAGGGCGATGAACTAATATGGATGCAATACCACAAGTTACCTTAGAAAAGCCATTTACTGTAAGTGTTCTCTCCCACATGCCCGGCAAAGATGCAAAACTTGTATGAGTTGCTGGCGCATAAATTATGCGTTCGTATATTTCATCTGAAAGAACCTGAACAAAACAGCAACATAAATTTCAGAATCCAAAGGAAACAGTTATATCCAAGTACAAGAGCTTTTCAGGTGTAGATTGAAGTCAAGTACCAAAAGCCTGGGATGCTTTGCTACAATTTGAGCAATCTCTTCAAGCAATTTCTTGGGGTAAACAGATCCTGTCGGGTTGGATGGCGAACAAAGAATCAACAGTCGTGACTTTTCAGTGAGTTTGGATTCGAGAACCTTTGGGTCCAAGAGAAAATTTTCTTCGATCTTCGTAGAAAGAATCACAGGTGTCGCATCAGCCAGTCTTGCAATTTCTGGATAACTCACCCAAAATGGGGCTGGAATTATGACCTGAAAGATACAATTTTCAATAATTGTGAACCACCTTCACAGGTTCAACAACAGAACACCATGCCACTGAAAATGAAGATTTCAATACATGAAAATAATATCTTCAGACTAGACTACTATGTAGTAACAAGCACAAACTACTAGATGGAAATGCAGATATATTTATCAGTAACTTCCCTGTCAGAGAGACTAAAGGGCTCAAAATGGTAAGTTATGATTTTTGAGAACTAAACAGTGAAAAAGCTCAATATAGCTCCAAATGTCCTCACAATTTTCCCAGCTAACACAAACTAAACGGAAGGAAATATAAGTACGATCTTACACCATTCTGAGGAACCTTCTCTCTAGTCTCTAGTAAACTCTTAGGGAGGTCTATTGAATTATGATACATACAAGATACTTTTCTATGATGTAGACCATTGGATTCGCCTATACACTTACAAATACTACAAAGAACAAAGACCCAGAATAGGAATATATTAAGTTCATACAAAAATGAGTTACAATATTCCATTTAAGAGTGTAAAGCACTTCACCTCGTCCCCAGGGGAACAAACTGCGAGCACTGCTTGAAGAATACCCTGCTTGGCTCCATTGCTAACTAGAATCTGATCAGGTGTGTAAGAGATTCCATTCTCCTCTACAAAACAATGCTAATTATCAGAACATCAATATCACAATAGTCAAACCCGAAACTTTTTCCCCATAACTTAAGTTACCAACCTTTCAATTTTCGACATATTGCTTCACGGACTTCTAAAGTCCCAGCATTTGGAGTATACCTTGTGTGACCTTCACGAATCGCATTTATCCCAGCCTAACTTTCCATTAAGAAAAAATAAATTATTGGCAATGCACAAAACAAAAACAGGCCAAAATATTTGAGGAACAATAAAGGACCTCAGCTATTGGAGCTGGTGTATCAAAATCGGGTTCTCCGGCTGCTAAGCGAATAACAGGAATACCAGCTTGTGCAAGAGCCGTGGCTTGGTCAGTTATAGCCACAGTCTTTGAGGGTTTTACAGAATTCACTCTGGGGCTCAAAGAGATATCAACTTCCACTTGATCAAGACCAGTCACTGCCTTAACAACTGCACTCATATTTCTATGTGACTCTACCCGTCTTGTAGTCTCCAAAAACCTATAAAACTAAACAGTCAAAAACCATATAATACAATGTAAAGGAAAGGCATTATAACAACAACAAAACCTTGCGTTTTGCCAAAAATTTTCACCTTATGTTTTCAACAACGTTGCATCTATCCCTTGTGTTGCCTATGTTTCAAAAATCATGTTAAAAAATTCCTTTATGGAAGGTTTATAACATTCCAGAAAACATGGAACACGGGAAGTTTTTGTATTTATCCCTGTTAGAAATTCTAACTGGTTTAAAGATTGAAAACGCATTTATCTTTATAAATAAATAAAGAACTTAGCAAAAACACAAAACTTCGCACTTGCTCAAATTTCTTTGATCCAAAACTTAAAACAAAATACTACCCAAGTTCAATTCTTATGACTAGTTTTGAACTATGACTAAACTAAATAGAATGCAAACAAAAAGGGACCAAATTCAATAAAATCAACACAAGTACAGAAACACCAAAGATCGTCCTTTAAATTTGACGAAATGGGCAAAACGAAATAGAAAATTTGGAGAAACTTACTTGAGAGGAAAAGAGACAGATCTGAAGGAGAGTTTCTCAGAGCCCGAATCTGCACCGAGCAATCCGGTTCTGAAACCGAGACAAGCGACGGCTGGTGATGAGCAACTGTGTAGAGAATTGGCCATTGAAAATAATAGACAAGACGTAAATGTTGGAGGTGATTGTGTTTGGAATCCGAATTGGTTACGTGGGTTTGGTGGGTTGGAATTGGTTTTTTTTTTTTTTTTTTACAAGGGAATTGGAATTGGATTTTCGATTCCACCAAAAACGAAATTTAAAAAAGAGGAACAGTAGAGAGGGGAGCGGGTTGGTGGGAAAAAACGAAGGGGCGAGTTGGTTGGTGAGAGTTGAGATGGCTACGACATGGTTGGACAGTCAACTTGTGTCGTTTGGGTCCCACTCATTGTTATTAGTTTTTAAGGGCAACTCAAGTCATATTTGAGTTGCCTAAGTGAGAGAATGTAATAAAAAAGTTTAATTTAAATTTACCTCAGATAAGTATTGTCGTAATATAATTTGACTCATGATTTAAATTATTTATTCTAAGTTTAATTTAAATCAAGTCATATTTGATTTAAATAAATATGCTCTAAGTTTTTTTTATGAGCACCTCCTCCTGAACTTGACAGAATTGGCAAATCAATCCCTAAATGAAATTTCATGCCAATTAACCCCACCTCAGATTTCAAATCCTAGGCACAATCTATCTGTCGTAGTAAAATTAAACAGTACCGTCTAAGTGCCCTTAAGGTATTCTATTTATCAATGGTAAGACCGGAAATTAAGAAAATTTTGATTTTAAAGGAAAAAAAAAGAGGAAATTTACCTTTAAAAACAAAACAAAACAGAAGCTTTGATGCCGTGGATTAAAGATATTGAGCATAGGTATTCTTAAATAAAATAAATAAATAAATAAAAAAGAGGAAGAAGAAGATATTGAGCATGGGTCTGGGTGTTCGGCCGATGGAAGGGAAAGAAATCGGATTCCTTTATCAACTCCAACAAAAGTAACTTCTTGTTATTTTTGTTTGTTTTACTTTTTTATAGAAACCCCACAGCTCACCTATTGGAGGTCTGGATCGGGCACAGGATGGTGACGGTGGGCGAGATCTGAGATCTGCAGGACCAGCTCTTCGACGTCCGATCGACGACGCGTACTCCGGCTCATGATCGATGATGCTGAATCGTGGGTTGTTACGCCGATGGGATGGGACGTAGGATTATGGCGGGGGCTTCCATTGGAACATGCCCTTATCAGAACATCACGTGCAAATCACATGACAAGAAACTGTCAAAAATTTAAGGGCCCGTTTGCTTCCTGCATTTAAAACCAGGCAATATGCTAGAATGACTATCCAACAAAGTGAAATTAGCAAAATGACCTTCTTCTATTTTTTATGAAGAAAGACACTTACTCATTCTTTGTAAAAAGATGTCATTTTGCAAATAAAAATTTTTGAAATGTTATTTTACTAATAATTTTAAAAAAAAAAATTAAATTTTAAATGTCAAAATTAAAAATCACTGGTTTAAACGTATGAACCAAACTGGCCCTAACAAATTTTAAAATTTAAGAGGACAATTGCTACAATTTTGTAGTTTAGGGATTAATTTGCCAAACTTGTTAAGTTCAGGGTAATCATGTTGGTTTTCGAATCGAATTCGGATGCGGAAGCGTGGGGATAGCGGATCAAGTATAACAAAAATTTTCATAACACTTTTGAGATACTTTATAGATTATATTAATTTATGCATGAATAAATTAATCACATTAATTCATTTATTAAGAACTCAATTACGAATAATACATGGTGGCCAATTATGATGATAACTTGAGTTCTTTGATCTCGAATAATCCTTGCTCTAAAGGCTTGTGTTTAGAAAACCAATGTCTTCCACATCAATTCTTAAAATCTATGAAGAAGTGTGTGTGGGCACACTTGAGACAAAACGGGTTAGAATAAACACTCGAATTTCTATAAACACCAACGCATGCACGATGTGAAATTTTTGGAGAAAAAATATTTTTCCTCTCACTCTATAGAGAATTTCGGCCACACTTAGAAAAATAGGTCACAATTTCTATCATTCTCTTATTTATAAAGTAGAAGTCAAACTCCTAGAAGGAATCCAATCTTTATCTCCAAGATAAAGTTTGTTAATTATCTCCTATTTGAATTTAGAACAAAATTTCTCAATCATTTATTCTAGTATGGCCGGCCACCAATAGAAGATCTCATCCCTTTGTGTGGCGCCAATTTTAGATAAGGAAGGAAGAGAAGATTATCTTTTATCTTGTAGTCTAATTTTGACTCAAATTCAAATTTCAATTTAAGTCAAACTTAAATTAATTTGAATTATAAATTGGACAACTTATCAAATAAGTTTAAAATGGTAAATTTAAATTGTGTTCACAATTCAAATTCAAATTTAAATAATCACATTATTTAAATAATAATTAATTATCAATTAATTATTTTTGAGTGTTTAATTTTAGAATTCTGTAATTCTAAAATTCCCATTTTGCCATTTGTGTCTCGTAGAATTACTAGGACGATGCGATGACTAATGGACCTATAATCCCGAGCTTCAATAAAATTAATAATTAATTAAACACTTTAATTAATTAATGAATTCCATTAATTCCAATAGTTGCTCTACTATAAACTTGGAATTGTACTCTTGAAATTATAGACATAAATTACTTCTAAACTGCGAAGTGTCCATTTGATATAGTCACTGCATATAGATCAATCCTCCATACATAATTCATAATTAGAGCTAGGTAGAATCCGTTAACCTCTCTAATTATATCTTCATCCTTGAGTACCGTTGATTCTCTAATGGGTAGTGATTCATAAAACACATTCATGAACCAGAGCGCTCTTACTAATCCAAGTACAAAATCAACACTCAAGAGAATTATTTATCTGCTTCTTTCTCAAGAAGGAATGGATTCCATCTTGTATAATAACATTCCCGGCTACCTACTTCATCATGTTTCCAAAATACAACGAATGGGATTCAGGATCTCAGAATCCGTACCGTGTAAATCAAAAGACACAAATCCATAAATAGGAGTTTGTTAAAAACTCAAGATTAAGATCATTCTATATATGACCATCGGTAGACTCAATTAGAATTTCTATACTTAACGGAAATTATTAGAAATTCATATTGTGTATGTGTCCCTGCTCCACATAATCTCATTATGCGTAATACATTCATTCAATATCTCGCTATATTAACAGTGTGGATAACACTATTCCATTCTAAATGGGAATGATATGTATTAATAATATTTTAATTAAAGATTCTAAACTTTAATTAAATTCATTACGAACATCTTTTTTTGATTATTATCCTTAAATATTATCCTCTTGCATATAACACTTATATACAATGTTTAGGGTCACATAAATAATCATGAAATTTTCATTGATATTCATAAAATATTCACAAATATATACACACAAAATGATGAATAAACCATTTTATTAAATAAATAATAAATATCATATCACATCTCATACTTTCAGGACACCATTCTCAACAAACCATACAAAAAACCCTTTAATATTAGAGAAATAACAACACTTGTGTTTTTAAAACTTACCAAAATTGCCCTTTGTCCAGCCATTAGCATTGGGCGGTCTTCCCCTTGCCGCTCCGCCACAAGCACATGAGTTTGTCAACAGGCGTGCAAAGATTGATCTTTGGTGGTCTAGCACTCGTCTCCGATGGTTTAGGTTCAACGATCATCGTCCGCCGCTGATTTGTAGGTTTTGAATTAGGTTAATTGTATATTTTTTAATAATTTACGAATTATTTAAAATTTAGAATGAATTGAATATTGGCCAATTTTTTAAAGAAAATATTGTTAAAATAAGATAGATATTTTGTAAATAATTTATTTACATGTAAGTAAATTATTGAGGTTAAATTTCGTAGTTCATCTCACAGTATACACGTGTCAACACACGTCATTACAAAATGTGAGTCTAATTCACGAAATCGGTAGCTACCGGAATGAGTGATGAGTGAGTCGGTTACCTTGAGATTTTCAAATTAATTAACTAGATAATTATATGCACAAGGGATCACGATAGAAGGGATAAATCCGACTTAAGACGAGATACTTTATCTCAAACGATCTTATTTGAATTGGAAGACTTATCCACACAATATAAGGACATAACCACTCCAAATTCAAGTAAGAATCCTTCCCAGGCAAGAGTTCTAGAGGCGTCAGCTAAGTAAAGCCCACATGCCCAAGGTAGGCGTTCCAAGAAGACATGGGCATAGGATTGTCAATTCGTGTTCGCATGTGAGATTAATAAACTTGTCACAAACTTAAACACAAATACGAAATATTTACGGACAATACGTCATGACAGGCGAACACGTTTATTAAACGTACCATGACGGGTTGACACAAATAGAACACGTTTATGACCCATCTAACAAAAATGATGGATTTTTTTATATTCAAAACTACTATTAATTAAGCCCCGTTCATTTCGCCGATTCGAGTTTTATTACAGTAAAAAGTTCTCAGAAACAGTCACATCTAACTTTTTTACTATAGTAAAAATCTCTCACAAAACGTTACATCTTAACTCGAATCAGCGAACTAAACGGGCCAAATTCGCTAAATTATAGATTTTGAAACTAAGCGAAACTTTTATTGGGTCTTAGATTGTGGGTACACAATATGACTGTGCACGCCCACGTATCATATCATTTTATTATTAGCTTTAGATTTTTTTTTTTTCTCTCGATCTAAACTCTCTCTTCATTTTTCTCTCTCCTTGCGAATCTCTGAAGCTTCTCAACCTCCCTCTCTCTTCGTCTTCCATGGATCCAAAACCTTGCAAAGCTCGGAAGCTTTTCGACGTAACGTCATCGTCAAGAACGCTGGCATCTCGATTTTAGAGATAGAAAATAGCGGATAATCGCGACGGCAGTCCCGAGTTCGAAAAGAATCGCGTCGTTAGCGACATAACTAAATTTTGTGTCCCTTATTTTATTTAATCAGGTGAATGTCCGAATTGAATTAGAAAATATAAACGAATTGAATTAGGGATAGTACTCTCGGAGCAGCTAATTATCTATGGTAATATCAAGCCTAGACTGTAATATACTCTTGGACAGGTACTTCTCTCCTAAAATTGGGGATTTCGGGCTTGTTTTGTTAAAATTGGATTATTCTATTGAGATCTCTGTGGAAGGATGTGATGCTACGAAAACGACGAATGGTAATCATGGTGGCGGAGTGAGGATTATGGTTCAGAGGTTGAGAAAACAGAGAGTGTGATTACAACGTTTGAGGAATTGAATGTCGATTTCCATTTATTTCCGGAGAGTTTCGTACATGTTTCGACTTCGCCGGAGACGGTGGCGATGTGTCTGGGAATGTTTTGTGATTTTGGGTTTGCCCACAGCAATCGAACTCAGACAAAGGAAAAGTTCATTTTTTCACACACCACTGTAGAGAGGATTTTTTTAGAACACAAATCTAATATCTAATATCCAG